GCCTCCCACAAGTAGCTCCTGCACATTGCTTCTCGTAGTGTTATAAGTCCTAACATCATAAGGACTGAAGAGATTTCTCCATTTCGTAATTTTCCTACCAAATTTCATAATTTTAATAATAGGTAAATTTATATCAACCAATGCAAATAAACAAGGCTTTTGGAGCTCTAACTCTTGCACTATTCGTTGTCTCTTCCACCACTATTACTATCTGCTTGGATAGCACTGATACTCAAATAAAATATCAAACATTTCAGACTTGTTCACAAACTTATGTTATATGTCCCTCCTTGATAGTAAAACGTTGTACAGACATTTTAAATTAAATAATTGAATCTCCGTGGACAAAGCATTCCCTACAACGATTCAATCAAACAAGAAGCATAACGCATTATGAGAGTACTTCGTGGACAAGAAAATTAAATAGAAGCATCCACTTCAAAGTGCTAGGATGTCTACTCATCTTAGAAAACAAAGGCATGGCTGAAAAAGGATGACTCCCTCCTTTGAAATGCAGTGCTTTTTCCACACTCAGCATCAATTGGGTCTAAAGGTTGGATTCAGGCTATAACAGTGAAGATTTGAAAATTTTGGGGAACAAAAATTATAATACTACATTCTCTGACAGGCACCAAGTTATTACACTTCTTATAATCACGACAAGAGTCCGTGAGTTAATTTTAGTTACATACCAATTTTGTCAAGATCAATTTCTGACATTCCCAAAAGGCAAAAAGAACATTGTTGAACAAACCAAAAAGTATGCCTAGGATGGCAATTAGTAAACTTCCAAGAATTTCAAGCATCTGAGAAACTGAAAATATAGAAATCACAGTTATACCAAAATCAGAAAAATTCAGCCAGATACCCGAGAAACTGAAGAACACGCATATTAGGTCAAGAAATTCCAAGAAACTCAAGAACTCAATACTCCAAAATCAGAAGAATTAAACCCCATAACTAAGAAACCAAATAACGCATATGAAAATTCGAGAAATCAAGAACCCGTGCTCAAAATTCTGAATAAAGTCAAAAATTGCGTAAAACTAGGAAAATAATTGATAGAATAAGTAACAGGAAGTACGTACGAGAAGGGGCATACGAAAGGCTAGTCTCGAACCAGAGCTCGGCTTTATTAACGTCCTCATCCGTCTCCCCATATGTAAAATCATAAAACTGTGGCGCTGCGAACTCGTACACCGCATCGATCATCAACAAATTATTTGATAACTCCACAACCGCCGCCATTGATTGACAATTGACGCGAAAGAAAAGTGCTAAAGGAAGAAAAACTCGTCTAGTTTTGATCTGGAATGCACATATCCTTGTTTGCAAATGGAGAGACGGGGCAAGATGGAATATTAACGTTCAAATTTTACACAAGTGGTCGGTTAAATTTGAAAAAGGCAGGGGGAGCTGGTGACCGTTGGAATGTGTTGAATGGGGGGATTTGCAACGGCTAGAAATCATGGTCTAACGACAATACGCTGTCGTTTTTGGAGAGTCGAAGCCCACCCATTGTATTAATTTTTTAATGAGGTTTATTGTTTTATTAAAGAGCATTATTTTTGCTTTTTAAGTTTTTATACAAAGAAAAGTGTTTTCAGTTTAAAATAAAAATTAAATTAAGATATGTTATATAATAACTTGTTTGGCACCGTTTATAGTTTAGTCAAATCTAATTTTTTATTCACACTTCCACAAGTACTATACTACTATTTACTTATTCATAACTATTTTTATCCGTAAATATAATATAAATCGATACTATTATAATTTAAATTGAAGGAACTTATTGTTTCTCCAGTTGTAATTGGTGGGATGTTTCTATTCTTCTCGATTCTCAACAAAATTATATTGTGCACTAAAGACAATATTAAGATACTGAATTGCACGGCACTAAATTACCAACGACAATATGCTATTGAAATACTATCAATGATTGCTATAATTGTTGATGAAATTTCAATCAACAATCGATGTCAGTGAGATTGAGAAGATATCTCTTGCTTGAGTCTTGACTAGATCTTATATTTATATTAAATCGAAAACTTCCGGAACTATATCCCCTCGTTTCAGCTGAACTAATGTAAAATTCTCATTTGCAAGCTCAATGCCAAAAATAAAAAGAGGACTGGATCTGGGCAACTATACATTTCTTCTTCCTCTTAGGTTGATCGAGAGAGAAGCTCGTCCAAAAATAGAGGACTTGTGGAGAGAGAGAGAGAGATAGAGAGCAAAATTGACTATTATATAAGAGATATTTAGATGAACCAGTTAATGAACTGTAACTAAGGAATTGCAATGTGAAAACTAGGGCTACACAAATGAACGATGGTCCTAGGACTGCCTCTTTTAAGAGAATGTAGATATAGGGTCTGTCTGTTCTTACTAAAAATCAACTTAAAATTGATTATGTAATCGTTGCAGTCGAAAAGCTTGACCAACTCTTTCTACCGTGGGACCCATGAACGGTCAAAAAATCACTTCTTTGGATGAAAGAATCAAGAACAGACATGAGTATAATCAGGTTCAATGTATAATGATATTATGTTGAGAGCTCAAACCTTGAAATGAACAAAGGGGTCCTTGTGCACATGGTCCACTTACCTGAAATTGAAGTGAAACCCATAAAGTAAAGAAAAATGGGATCGACAAAATTACAAGAATTTCTCGAGCAAAGTCAGAATCTGTCATCACAATTGACACGTGTCAGGTGCAGTGAACCTTGTTCTTATGCAATCATAAGCATTATCCTGAAAATAAGTTAATAACAAGATATTGTTTGAATAATGTTTATACGAGTAAAATGGATTTATATGCCCATTTTTTCAGTTCACATTTGTTTAATAAAGGGAAAACTGCACGTGGGTCATCAATCTATTACCTTAATAGTAAATTGGTCCCAACCTTTCAATTTATCTTTCATTATAATTGCACAATTAATTTTCAATTACAGATATGATACAAGTTTTCGTTAGATCATCATTTAAATTTATTGAATACATGTCTTGCTTCTACTTTTTAGTAATTGATTGTGAAGCGTAACTTAGCTTCATAAAATTAGAGATTTCAAGACTTCGTGACTTTTACACATATTTGGACAAGTATCGTCATTCATGATTGATTGCATAATAGTATTACAATATTGAGATCGTCTAAATGTCAAAGATTGAAGATCATTTGTTACTAGAATAATAGGTTAAAGATCAATGGTACAATATAAAATTCTTTTTGACGTTTCTTCTTTTTTTCACATAATAATATTATTATTTGGAGTCACATTCCATTTTAAAATACCACAAATTCTTAGATTTTGATTAATGTTTCTATCTTTGTTTAACGTGAAATTTATGAGACAAGAAGATAGGTGCCCTCACAACTCCATCAAATAATACAAATGGAAGAATTGTCGAACTAAAAGATTGCAAACCGTATGAAAAAAAATATAGGTTACTATTTGATCAAGAGTAATTTTAAATATTCTTCGATGGTAAATTTGTCGTGAATAGGTGCACTAACAAGTAACAACCTTCAAATATGTGTATAAATAAAAGCGTTGGTGCGACTTTTCCTTTGCATCACGACAAGAAATCTTGCATGCAGTGTGTAATGTGGAGCTGCCACATACGCGATTTTGCATGCTAAAACCTAATACAACGGAGACACGCATTTTTCAGCCCACACCTCAGATCATCCTCGTCACTCTCTACAATTCTCTCTCTCTATATCTTCTTCCTCTCTTTATAACCCTCTTTGGATCTATCTCATTTCCTCATCTTGCTCCCTTTCCTTTAAACATTTCATAAGATTCGTGAATTTCAAACAAGAAATAGAAAATATGGGTAGCGTTTGTGCTGATCAGAACCAGCTCAAGTTCCATCAATCCCACCAACTGTATCACAAGAAAAGCACAAGAGAAATTGATATCCCTCCGAGAAAACTGTTTAGCCGCCGGTCAACCTCTAGTCAGGCAACGGAGATGTTCATGGACTCCTCCAAACCTGCTGAAGATGGCCTGTTGCAAAGATTCTTGCCGTACAACAACGTCGATGATGATGATGCAGATCCTTACTCTTCTGATCGTTTCAGAATGTATGAATTCAAGGTTCGAAAGTGCACTAGAAGCAGTAGCCATGACTGGACTGATTGTCCCTTTGCTCATCCCGGAGAAAAGGCCCGGAGAAGGGATCCCAGAAGGTACCATTATTCTGGTACTGTATGTGAAGAATTTCGTAAAGGCCATTGCAGCAAAGGGGATAGTTGCGAGTTTGCCCATGGAGTTTTTGAGTGCTGGCTTCATCCGACGAGATATCGAACTGAGGCATGTAAAGATGGCAAGAATTGCAAGCGAAAGATCTGTTTTTTCGCGCACTCTACAAAACAACTTCGTATTTTATCTGATAACTCTTTTCCTCCATTGAATTCTCCGGCTTCTGTCGAAAATAAGTATAATTATTTGAACCATTGCTGTGTTCATTGTCACTCTATGATTGCTTCTCCAACATCTACTTTGATGGGAATGTCTCATCTGCCATCCCCTCCGATTTCGCCACCAATTTCTCCAGTCAAAACACAGGAATTTTCGCGTCGTCCACTCGAATCTTCTGCTCTGAATGAATTTAATTCTGGTGGGATGAGTTATAATGATGCCTTCACTGAACTTATGGGCAATTTGGAAGCCATGAATATGAAGGAAGCTGCTTCTTCACATGGAAATTTATTCAATCTTGATCGTGAACAATCCCAATTGTTGCTCTCCCCCTCAACACCAAATCCTGCAGTTTCAAACACATTCTTCAATGGAGATCTTCCAAGCAGGGATTTCACTAAAGGCAACAAGTACAACATCAATGAAAGTGGACCTGATTTTGGGTGGGTCAATGATCTTTTAACCTAAATAATTATGGATAAAATGATTATGGACCACGATATGGTGACCATAGTGAAGATGGTGATGGAATCTGCAGGAGATATTAAAGGGTTTTTGCACGTACATAAGGTCCTGCACCATTCACATAAATGTAAACAATCCAAAGTGTGTGTATATGTTAGAATGGGGTGTAATATTATTTTGCTGAATGTTTTTAAGATTTTTGTTGCTGAGGTTGATGTATTGAACTGAATCTATCTCTGGATTCACTGTGGTAATTTCTGTATTTTAATATCAATTCCAACTCTATTTTGCTCTTGTAAGATTAATTGTTTAAGTTCATTTAAATTCGGTTTAAGTTGAGTCAAATACGAATTTAGTTGTATTTAATTAGAAATAGTTCAGTTTAATCTAGAAAAATTGCTTGTATACAGAGCAAGCATCCAAAAAGCTTAGCCAAACAAGCACTTAAAAAGTGCAGCAAATTTAGGTGGCATAAGCGACTTTTGTGTACAAAGATGTGGGATTAGGGTCGGGATTAGACGATGTTCGAATTGTGTACAATTTTTATACAGAGAAAAGTTATTTTGAAGTGTAGCAAATTTAATTTGGTGTACAAAGAAGACCGGGTGAGTGATGTGGCAAAGGCAAGTGTTGTGTAGAAAAGTGGCGAACATGCAGAGCAAGATGGGGGGATTAGGACAAAGCCCGACTTGTACGGTATAACGTATGTAAAATCCAATAATTAATACGTAGCCATCACTAAGTTATTTAGGCATGATCCTAATACTAAAAAAGAAGAAATATATAGAAGTGATTGCCTAAAATTCCCATAAAAGAAGAGGACACGAGGGCCATATATGACTATTTTACAGACTTTTTGATAAATTCTGCTTAAAAGCATCCGAGAGCTTCGAAAATCAAAGGTTGGGGATTCAAGTACATCGAAAACATGACACGTGATTATCTCAATCGACGAGATAATAACTGCCAATTCTCAATTCAAAATTCATATACTCTTCTGAATTATCATAGTACAAATATCTAATCGAGTAGAGTCTACATGGTATCAAGTAGAAGGGCATTGTAATTCAAAAGCATTGGCGCAAATAGTATTGTGTTTCCTAGGAGGAAAACTGATGTGTTGGACAGGGAGGATGACATTCATTTGTGTGGGGAGACATACAGCCCATGCAGCTAAAGTAACCTTAGCTCAAATAGATGAGGTCCTCCACAATATCACATGCCTTGGCAATCACTCACTGACCCACGCCCAACTTAATGCACTTGTCTAGATTATATTTGAAAATTTGTATTATAACTGTATATTTATCATTTCTTAAGCTAGACTAGATTGAAGAAAAATCAGTTATGGAGAGTTTACATAATCCGCAGTACAAGGTTTAATGCTCTTAAGAAGTTACGTCCAGGACTAGACGTAAGGAAATAGAAATCTGCATCCCAAGAGCAATGCAATACATCGAATCGAAGATGCTAAAAAACCTTATGGGTCACCTTATGCTACATGGCAAATCCGAAAATTTCCTTTCTTTATGCATAATTTTACTTATTTTTTGTATTATTTTGTCTTTGCAGAAACTTTGACATGTGGTACTACAGCTAACAAACGGTTGAATACGGTACGAATGGAAAATTCTGTTCCTCGGTAAGTTTTCTTCGAAAGTGTAGTATAAATTTCTATGCAAAACTTCCTTTGCATACAATAATGAACCTCATTAATTTGGTTTGGATTTATAATATAATTGAATCATAAGTTTTAATAGATACTAAGCACAACAAACCTTATCAATATTTTCGTAATACTCACCAACTTCTGCAAAGTTATTTTGCGCGAAACACTTTCATATTATATTATTTAAGTAATTATAATTTGCAAGTATAATTCAAACTAAATATGATGCAGACATCATTGGATCGTCGGGATTTATTTCATTGTCATCAGGATTTACTTTTATTGTTATTAGACCTTATTTATTTATGTCTTCTCTTTTATTGTTATTGGGCTTGTATTACTGTGTTAGCCCAAACCCGTCAATTACCTAGATTTTTGCTATTTAAATAGTTTTACATTACAGTTTAGCCAGTTAATGATTGAATGAAAATTAAGATTGACGGCTGCGACGTTTCTTTTTCTTTTCTGCTGTTTTCTTTTACCTTCTTGGTTTNTTTAGACAGTTGATGAATATGATGAATTAAAGATTGGCTGCAGCCGTTTTTCTCCCCTCTTCTTCTTCTTGCTTCTTCTTCTTCTTGCCTTCCTTCTCACTTCTTGGCTTTAATTATAATTCACCCTAAATTTCTAATTCATCCTGCATCAAATCCCACGTATCAGAGCCTAAATTCCTGCACCCAAAATCCCACACGACAATACCCAAACTGCAATCCCGTAACCCCTGCAACCAACGTTCAACAAACTGCCCACCAACAAACTGCCCACAATCCTTCAACCCATACCCGACACAAGTCTCATTCACAGCCCACCATCGGAAACTACAACTCGACAATCAAAACTACCCATAGCTTCCACAAACCACTACTCCAACCCAAATTGCAAAATACCCAGGAACCTAGAAATAACCATTCACCTTCGCCTTCTCCTACCAAATCATCCCATTAATTTCACCACCAACTAAAAAAAAAAAAAGGGAAGGAAGTCACTGGTCACCCTATAGTTTGTCCGCTGCCAGTATCAAAACCCGATTCAAACCTAACCGTCGTCATCACCACCCTCTTCAAACCGTCGCAACCCCAATCAACAAGCTCCGTCAATCACAATCGCTCTCCACAATTTCAACAATCACGTAGCCAGAGGAAGAAGGAGTCGGTACAGGTCTCCTCAATTTTGTTTAGTTATTGGGTTTCAATTTGGGCCATGCCCCTCCTGTTGGGAGTTGGGATGAAATGAAGCGTCGCCTTCAAGAGAAGTATCTACCTCAATCGTATAAGGGTCATATGTTGGATCAATGGAATGCCCTCACGCAAGGAAATCGACCAGTGACTGAGTACGTCACTCAGTTTGATGAATTTAGAATGAGATGTCAGGTTGTTGAGGATG